ATGTTTACCCTCAGTTTACAAACAGAGAAACTGAGGATCCTAAGGGTTAAGATGCTTGCCAGTGAGGCTAATAATGGTGGATGCAGGACTCGCTCCAGTCCAGGTTAGTCTGTTCCTTCCTCCATGCCACCTCTCCTCTTTCTGCATCCTTCCATCTCTACGACACTCCTTTCCCGCCAAGTGTTTGTCCTTGTGCCTCATCACCTTCCTAAAAAGGGTACTGACCTAGAAAGTAAAAGACCAGAATTTGGATTGCAGCTCTGCTAGAAACCATCTTTTTATTATTATTATTAATGAAAACTGTTTAAATTCTATAGTGCTTTATAATTTTCAAAAGTTTCACACACATGATTTCCTATAGTCCCATAATAACCTTTTTTTTAACCCTCTACCCCTATACTGCCCCCCCCTCTCCCCACTGGTGGCCACTAGTGTGTTCTCCGTATCTGAGTCTGCTTCTTGTTTGTTATGTTCACTAGTTTGCTGTATTTTTTAGATTCCACACATAACTGATATCATACAGTATTTGTCTTTCTCTTTCTGACTTCACTTAGTATGATAATCTCGAGGTCCATCTATGTTGCTGCAAATGGCAATATATCATTATTTTTATGGCTGAGTAGTATTCCATTGTGCATGTGTGTGTGTGTGTGTGTGTGTGTGTGTGTGTGTATATATATATATATATATATATACATGTACATATCCACAGCACCTTCTTTATCTATTCATCTGTTGATAGACACTTAGGTTGTTTCCATACCTTAGCAATTGTAAATAAAACTGCTCTGAACATTGGGGTGCTTGTACCTTTTTGAATTAGTGTTGTCATTTTTTTCAGATGTACACCCAGGAGTGGAATCGCTGGGTCATATTTACTGAGTGCCTGGTATGTCTACCAAATCTCCATTTCTACCATCTCCCCTGACTCTCAGCAGATGACCTTGGCTTCAACAGAGCATGAACTCCTTCAGCTTCCTGCTAAAAATACCTTATAAGGTTGTCTGCCTCTGTCCTTACACTTTCCTCCTGTCGCTGTGGAGGTGGAGCCCTCCCCTTGTTTCCAGTTTCCTGGAGCTCTGTATGGAATCCCTGACAGCATTCTCAGGGTTATCCCCTTTCTCTGCTGCATCTTCAAGCTTTCCCTTTCTACTAGCTCCTTCTTATCAACATGAAAAAACTTAGGTCTCTGCTATCTTAAAAAAGTAAAAGGGGGGGGCGTGGAGAGGAACGAAACAAAGTAGGAAAGAAAGAATAAAAGAGAAAAGAGAAGAAATGAAGGGAGGGAGGAGGGAGGAAGAAGGGAGGGAGGGAGGAAGGAAGGAAGGAAGGGAGGAAGGAAGGAAGGGAGGGAGGGAGGAAAAAGACAGAAAACATCCCTTCTTTTAACCTCTAAGCCACCCATAGCCTAGATTCACTTTCTATTTCCCTAGCTGCTCCCTCTTAATTACCTTTGCTGTTGCTTAGTTTAAAAACAAAAGCAAAACTGCTCATTGTAAACAATGTGATGGTATCTGCCGGCCCTTTCACACTGGCTGCCCTCTGGCCCTGCCCCATCCTGCCCTCACTCCTGCCCTTGGTCAAATCTCACCTGTGCCTGGACTTCAAGTACCCAAAGCGCCACCTCGGGTCCAAGTCTTCCCTTAAACTTCATCAACCCCCAAGCTCTGTTCCTTCTACATCTATCTTCTAGCTCTTGAATCTGTCCTTTGCTCTCCACTTTCACTGGCACTGCCCAGTTCTGCCATCATCAGCTGTCCTTTTGGTGATCGACAGCCTCCTAACCGTTCTCCTTGCCTCCCATTTGGCCTCTCCTGTCGTTGAAGATCTGAGAACGCCTATGCCAGCGTGAGAGGCAGATGCAGAAAGCTGTAACGCGTAGCAAATCGTAGGTTAGAGTGGCGACCATTGGATTTGCTCCAAGCCCTCAATCCCAGAACACTGCATTAGAAAAGTTAACTTGGCTTCAATTTACCTGGTTTGTCATCCTTTGGAGAGGGGATGAGGATTCCTCACCTGGAAAAGAAGGGGTTGGACTAGATGAGTGCCTGGCAGAGTACACCCAAGTCCTCGGAGTTTCTGACTCTGTAGGGTTTGGGGTAGACCCAGAAAGTTTGCATTCCTTACAAGCTCGCTGGTGATGGCAATGCTGAGGTCCACAGACCACACGTAGAATCTCACCAGACTAGGTGATACCATATTTTTGTATCTTCACCCGTGCTATCCAATATGGTAGCCACTAGTTCCCTGGCTATTAAAATTCAAGTTAAATTAAAATAAATGAAAATTCAGTTCCTTGCTAGCCACACTTCAAGTGCTCAACAGCTACACGTGGCTAGTGGCTACCATATTGGACAGTGTAAAACATTTCCATTATTCCCTATTGGACGTGGCCATTTCCTCACAGATTTCCGGGGAAGAAATTTTACCGTAGAAGGAAGGTAAAATATCCTTTGACAAATAAGGCCTCTCAGCATTCCTCCAGCGCACCTGGGCCTTCGGCCTATATCTCAGCCCTAATTTTAAAGTCTCAAAGCCCACACCCTGTTTTGCCCTAGCACCATTTTGCCCCAAGAAAAACACACAAAAACAGGACTGGAAATGGAAATACTAGAATTTCTGTGTCTGTGCACCGCAGTAGGACTTGATGGACAAAGCTAAGGATTTGGTGGCTGAAGTCCTGCATCTGAGCCACCTGAGGAGGTGGCCTTGAGCAAGTCACTTAACTTCTCTGAGCCTCTGTATCCTCATCTGTAAAGTATTCTAGAAATATCTACCTCACAGGAAGATGTGTGAAAAAGCACCTGTGATTTGTACCAAGTCCAGTTACTTTTTTTTCTTCCTTCTCCACGCTTCCATAGCATGTTATACACATTCTAAGTTAGTACTTACGCATTCTGGTTACGTGGAGGCCACTGGAGCACAAGGTAAGGACCCCTCAGACTTAGTTCTCTCCTCAGCACATACTCCTGCCAGGCACAGACTCAAAAGATGCGCGAATGATTAAGTCTCAGGGTAAAGCCAAGTCACAGGTATTGTATCTGGAGGGCAGGGTCACGGGCCTGACTCTCTATAGCTGTGTTCATGCTCAGTCTTCAGCCTGCAGCACGTGCCAACACCACCCCTGCCCCCGGACTCACCCACCTTCACTCCCCCAACCCCACCTCTGGCTCTAGAAAATCTAGTCACCCTTCAAGAATCTTCCCAAGGATCCACATACTAAATCAATCAGCTAGGAGGTCAAATCCTGCCTCTGCCACTGCCTAGCCAGGGCCTCGGGTAATTTTTGTAAATTTTGCTAATATTTATTTTCCTGATCTGTAACTTGGGCAGAAAAATACCTATCTTTCAGTTTTGATATAAGATTTACATAAGAAAATGTGTACGGAACATTTGGCAGAATGTTAAACAGACCTCAAATGCTGGGTTATGTCTTTTTTTTAAAAAAAAACAACAACAGCCATTTCTGGTCTCCAGAGCTTGCCTTCTCAGGGGACTGTGGTTGGTAAAGGTGTCACTTAACCACTCTGGGAAATTCTCCATTCTGCAACATAATCCAATCTTTTAGAGACTTCTCCTAGATTATCCTTTATTTCAAGTCATTCGTTTAGCAAACACTTATGGGGCACTTACTATTTGTCAGGAACTGTGCTAGATGCTGGAGATCACAGATTAAAGAATGCCTCTTACCTCAAGAAATTTCTAGTCTAGTGGGAACCCACCTTCCACCTTATGCTGGGTAGAAGCTCTTGGTCTACAGCTCAGTAGCTGCCCTCCACCCTGCACTTATCACATGGTATTACCTTTTTATATCAAACACACACTATTCCCAGTTCTAAGTAGGCTACATTCATTAATTCATTTAATCCTCACAACAATCTTATGAGGTAAGTAGCCATTAGTCCCATTTAACAGATGAGGAAACTGAGGCACGGAGCGATTAAGTAGCTTGCTTCAGGTCTTGTAAACTTCTAAGTAGGGGGAGCCAGGATCTGAAAACACACCGTTTGGCTCCAGCTTTATTTTTTATTTTATTTATTTTTATTTATTTGGCATTTAAACTCCCCCTTTTATTACCTGCTTAGTGGATTTTTGGCACACGTAACCTTTGTTATTGAAACACTCTCCTTTCTTTTCTTTTTTTAACTTAAGTTTAGTTGATTTACGATGTTGTGTTAATTACTGCTGTACAGCAAAATGGATCCAGCTTTAAATGTTCCTTTACTTATCTGTCCCCTCCACCAGAATCTGAGATTGTGCCAAATTCAAACGAATATCTCCTGTGCGCACCACGATTTCTGACACCTAAGGAATCAATAGTTTATTCCTCAAATGAAAAGAAGGAAAAAAAGGGAAAGGAGGAAAGATGCATGTAAGTAAACAATTACACGACGGTTTGGTTACCAACATTTACTAAGCATCAACACTAGGCAAGTGCCTGAGACGTGCAGGGAGCTCAAGAGTAAATTAACATCCCTGCGAGCTCAGAACTTTCAGTTACTAGTACCTTTAGTGTCGAGAATTCCTAGGCGACCACTGCGTTGTCCCGGTTGCCTCTTTCCTCTCGCCCCGTTCCCTTCGTCGGGAATTCCTGCTCCATGTCTTCCTTTTCCTTCGCCATCCTTTCCGTGGACTCCGCTCTCCGGGACTTCCCGGGCTCCGGCCTTCGGGAGCGGGTCTGTGCTTGGGAGCGCTCCGGCCGCGCCGGGCATGCGCACTGGGGGCGGCGCACTGCGCATGCGGGAAGATGGCGGGCCTGGCGTCCTGAGAGCCGTGGGTCACCCTGTTCCCCTCCCGCCTGCGTTCCAGCTCCCGGGGTCGTGGGGCAGCGGCGCGCCCATCCGGGGGCCGGCCTAGCCAGGCGGCGCCTCCGGGCAGGCCAGGAGTCCAGTTCGTGCTTGGCCCCCGGGACCCGGCGGGTCGGGGGCGGCGCCCGACCCGAGCGGGAGAAGGCGGGAGAGCTCGCTGGGTGCGAGGCGAGAGGCGGCCGGCTGGGCAGCATGAGTCAGCAGCGGCCGGCGCGGAAGCTGCCCAGCCTGCTCGTGGACCCGGCGGAGGAGACGGTGCGGCGCCGCTGCCGAGACCCCATCAACGTGGAGGGCCTGCTGGTAAGTGTGTCCCAGCGACGGGGCCGGGGGGGGGGGTGTCCCAGGCCCGCGCGGAGGCCGGACTGGCCGTCGTCTCGGTCGTGCGCTCCTCGAGGTGGCCCGGGACTGCTCCTCGGTCCCCCCGGCTCTCGCAATGCCCTTCGGGTCCAGTGAAGCAGACAGGTCGTTCGCTTAAGCTCTCGCCTTCTTGTTTGCGTCTGCTCGCAAATGTGTTGTCAGCCTCCTGGGCTTTTACGTCGGCTCCAGAGTAGTGTTGGAGAAAATTGCCCAGCTTTGCCTGAGACAGGCATGCTTTTGCGTCTCCACTGGACTCAGTGGATCTCTGCAAGCTCTCTCTCGTGTGTCCTCTGCAGCCTCTTCTGCCGTTCTGTTTCAGGGCAGCCACTTAAAACCGTGTCCACACCGCACACTTCCCGCTCCACGGCTTCCCATTCAGCAAGTTATCTTTGGTCCTCTTTGACAGAGAAAGTGGGAGATTGGCCTCCCTGCCGGAGGTCGGTTTCCTCTGTTGTTCTGGACTAGATGCGATATATTCTCCTGGAGTCTCAGGACCCTCGATGAACGCATCATTTTCCATTCTCCCCATATTTTCGATTTCTCTGCTGGTTTCTTCCCATTCTTAGTAAATAAACATTTCCTGAGGTCCGTCTGCCCAGACGCCAGGAGGACTCAGTGCTCAAAAATAGTTGATGAGCATCATCTCATTTAATTCCACACAGCAGTCCTCAGGGTTTATTTTTCTTGTTTTGTAGTTGCCAAAATAGACGTGGAGCTGTTAAGTGGTTTGCCTGTCGTTAGTGAGTAGACAGGCCTGGGTTTAACCTCGCAGTGTCTGACTCCAGGCGGTAAATTCTCGACTACTTAAAACGCATCCTAAATCCATTTCCATTGTGAAAGATCCCTCCCTTAAATTCCGTATGCCCTTCCGCCTACTGTATCTCTTCCCCTTCACAGCCATGCTTTCTGAAAAAGTTGTCAGCACTCCTGGGTCTGCTTGCTCACCTGTCATTACCACCTGCTGGGGGACCTCTGCCCTAGGCACAGCTCTGAGACGGTCTAACCAAGGTCGCCAGTCACATCCAGCAGATGGTCTCACTCCGTACCTTCTGTAGTTTGCACACGATCGACCGCTCACTCTTGTTGGACACTCGCCCTTGAACGGCCCTCTGGACACGTACTCTCGGCGCTCCATCTGCTTATCTGGCCTCTCCTGTCCCCTTTTGTAAACTCCTCTTCCTTTTCCCATTCCTTCCGTGTCGGTCTTATTCAGATCTCTACCTTCTCCACGGTTTCTTCATGCAGGGTGTCATTCACCACTCTCGTGACTTCTATTACTATTGGTATTGGTGGTCTTAATCTTTGAGAATTTGATAAAAGCTCCAAACTCTTACTATGGAAAAACCACTTTATTCTGCATTTAATGTCAGAAGATACACATGTATCCCTTGAAGTTGTACATAGTCTTACTCACTCTGGTAGTTTCAGTTACCATGTCGTGACTTCCAAATCTGTAAATCTGGCTCAGAGCTTTGCAACTGTCTACTAGACATTTCTACTTAGATTTCAAACTCACGTATCTAAAGTGGAATTCATTATCTTCTTGCCTAAGCAAGCAGCAACTCGCTGTCTCCTATCGCAGTAAGTGGTACCACATCCACCGTATTGCCTAAGCTAGTATCCTAGGCATCATCCTTGCCTTTTCCAAACGGACGCCCTCCATTCTATCTAATTAAAACTATAATCACCAATACTTGCCACTTCTAGCCATCATCTATCTTTCGGATTGTAATCTTCTTAACCAGTTTTCCTGCCTCTCGTCTTGCCCTTGATTTTTCTGTACATTCTCCACATAGTAACTAACCATAATGGTCTTTTTAAAACATATTTCCGATCACGTCATTTGACTTAAGGAATCTGTCATGGTTCCCTAGTGTTCTCAGGATAGAGGAGAAACTTCTTTATGTAATCAGACCCCTGGATTTATCTTTCCTGAACTGCATATAGTTGCTAAATTTTCCATATCTCCATATTCTCTTGGACCCCTGTATATCTGCACTCGCCCTTTTTTTTTTTTTTTTTTTGCGATATGTGGGCCTCTCACTGTCGTGGCCTTTCCCGTTGCCGGACGCGCAAGCTCAGCGGCCATGGCTCACGGGCCCAGCCGCTCCGCGGCATGTGGGATCCTCCCGGACCGGGGCACGAACCCGTATCCCCTGCATCGGCAGGCGGACTCCCAACCACTGCGCCACCAGGGAGGCCCTGCACTCGCCCTTTTAAAAAAACCTTTAAAGCACACTTTTCCTTGTCACCTCCCACGGTTCTTCCGGTCTAGATTTATAGGTCACTTGTCGGAAGCCTTCCTGACTTCCCGAGACTTGGTTAAGCGCTCCTTTTGTGTTCCCAGAGTGCCCTGTGCCTACTCCTCTCTGCACTGTGTGGCTCTTCGGTCCCTGAGTGCAGCGACTCTGTTCATTTCATTGTTACATCCCCAGCACATGTGGTGCTTCTTGCAAAAATATTTGGTAAATAGCTTTGGGATGAATAAAATAGGTACTCCGTAAATGTTTGAATGTATGAGTGTTTATTTTCCTGGCTGTAAAATGCTGATTTAAACACCTATCTCAGCATTTTTTAATTGGCTAATGACTGGCAGTGTTTAGTAAACTGTGTATTATTAAACTCTGTGCAAAAAATAGTTATGTGTACGGCTGAGTGTTTGATGTTCCCTGGGCAAATGGCTTGAAAACTGGAATTCTGTGAAGGCAGAACATGGTACTGATTAAAGATGGAACTTAGTCTGCGCATTGAAAAACAAGGAAAATTTGAGTGTGTGACAAGAATGCAGTCATCATGGGAAAAGGTATATGTCCAGAGACCTCTTAAAGGGATATTACTCCCACAAACAGGCAATTGGTACAAAGAAGCATCTGTGTAGAGAAATTTTTAACCAATTTAGAGGCAGTGTTTAAGATTTTAGTCCCTAAAACTCACCTTTTATTCTGTTCTTTCTCCTTTGAGGTCACAAGTTGAAAAGTGTAGGTTTTTAGTTGTGGGACTTGGAGCGCTAGTGAAATAACTTGGAACGTGCTGCCTTGCCCATCAGGAGCTGCTGGTGCCTAGAGAGCTGTGTGCGCTGAGAGCAGCCTCGGTGGTTTCAGTTTGCGGGCTCTGCCTCTTCCCGGCTAAGATACAGACAGGCCAAGAGGCTTGAACAAGTGAGAGAGAGAGAGAGAAGCAGTTTGAGGATTGAACGGGAAGGTTTCCTAGGACGTCCAGTCTTGAGGTTTGGCTGTTACTGGGCTGTCCCTTGGCATGTCTTGGGGAAATACCTGAGCGTAGCCCCTCAGGGTGACTTCCTTAAAGGAACAGAAGTGTTGGCATGCCTCCGCAGTGGTGGGTTGTCAGAACTAAAAGCAGCAGCATCTCTGCTGGCACCTGGGCAGGTTAGTGCCATAGAAGTTTGAGGGAGCATTCCTCTGAGGACTGCCATCCTGAAGATGCTGAGAAGGTCAAACATAAGTGTCCTGTGCAGGAACCACTTTGAAAAGGCCTAACCTGGGACAGTGTGAGCCTCAAAGTAACAGATTTTGTACTCACAGAATAAGGTAAGAATTCAGGCTCCTTGGATGTAGTTCTTTAAGTACAGCTCCTCAGGTACAGTTCCTCCAGATCTTTAGGCCTGTGAAACTAAAAAGACAAGTTATCTGACCCCTACCCCCCCCACACACCCCCAGCATACATCGTACACTGGTGGGACAGACATGGGATAACTGCTGTAGACACTCCTGTCCATAAAGAAGAAAAAGAGGGGTCACGGAGCAGCATCTGGTCTGGAGCAGTTCTGAAATGCCACCCGGTAAATGTGGGACGTTTTTGATTAGGTCTCAAGGTCTGGAAACAATTCTCCATGTTCCCACCTCTCCCTCTGGGCTCTTGGTTCCACCATCTGAGCCTGTCTTTTTTTTTCATGAAGGTCATATCTCTTCAGTATTTGTAGCTGAGTACTTTTTTCAGCCTGCTTCCTGTCAGCATAATTTGGGGGTGTCCAGTGGCCTCTTTTCACTTTGAACTGTCTTTATCCCTTTTAGACCAAGCTGGCAGTGATTTTGCCAATGTAATTCTCTCAAAAACTCTGTGGATGTCCTGTGAATCTTGTGGTTCACTCAGTAGACAAGCGTCCCACCCACAGATTTCTCCGAAATAAACTCTTCTGTACCTTGGGCTCCTTCTGGGGTGGCCGAGGGACAGTGCCCTGCAGCTTCCTAGAGACCTTCGGTTGAGAGGATCTGTGAGGTTCATCCTTAGTCTCCTTCAGGGGCCTTTTGTGTGACTGAATGGCACTCTGAAATACCATCTTTGATCTCTGAGGACTTCACCAAGAATTGTTCAGTCTCGGGCTTCCCTGGTGGCGCAGCGGTTGAGAGTCCACCTGCCGATGCAGGGGACATGGGTTCGTGCCCCGGTCCGGGAAGATCCCACATGCCGCGGAGCGGCTGGGCCTGTGAGCCATGGCCGCTGAGCCTGCGCGTCCCGAGCCTGTGCTCCGCGACGGGAGAGGCCACAGCAGTGAGAGGCCCGCGTACCGCAAAAAAAAAAAAAAATTGTTCAGTCTCACCTTCCCCTTTAGATTCAGTTTTTCTGGTGGTGCCTTTGATTTGGTCTTTCTCAGAAGTCTTCTCTTAATTTTTAGCTTCTTGAGAGGCTGAGAATTTTTTAAAGCTACCAAGTCATAGCTTCTTTTTCTTTTAACAGTCCTTTCCTCTCTCTGTCTCTCTCTGTCTCTCTCTGTCTCTCTCTGTCTCTGTCACCATCTGTCTCTCTCTCCCTCCCTCTCTCCCTCCCCCCCTACCCAATCCCCGTTAACACTGTGTGGGAAATCTCCTCGGTTAGGTTACCCGGTTCATTACCATCTGCTTTCCATGGATCTGCAGTTGACAGTGTTGCTAAGTGCTCTGTCTTAGCATAACGGGGATCCCCCTTCTTGAAGTTTCTAGCAAGTTCCCCTTCCTTTTGAACCCTTACTGGCAAAGTCCAGATTTCTACTGACAAACTTTTTCAAGACTGCTTAGTCTTGAACAGACTTCTTGGTAGTTATACTCTGGTTGTCTAAGAGAATGCTCTTGAGGTACACACTGAATTATTTAGGGGTCTGCAGTTTACCCTCAGATGATTCAGAAAAAATAAATTATGTGTGTATAGAAAAAAAAAGATAAAGCGAATGTAGTAAAACATTAGCATTTGAAGGATTTGGGTGAAGGGTATATGGCAATTCTTGGTACTATTTCTGTACCTTTTCTGAAGGCTGAGATTGTTTCAAAATAAAAGGAAAATGGATATCCCTGAAAGGTGCTCACACGATCAGTCTCCTGTTGGGAAGGGCCTCGGTCGTGCCTCACCTTGACTGGGAGCCCTCTGCTCACCTTCTCTCCAGTTTCCTCGTCCCTGCAGGGGTGTCCTTGTCCCTGCAGGGGTGTCGAGCCTTGTCATTCTCTTCCAGGGCAGGGTGCCCTTTTCTGTTCTGAGGGACCAAGTGCAGGGGTGGCATTTCATTTACATTTTTTTTTTAATAGCTCACTAACTTTTGTGTGAGAAAACCTGTATTCTGATTTTAAAGCCATTTAAAATGAAGAACTCCTATCTAGTCCCATTTCCTCCCAGAAAAGCTCCTAGCTTACCTGTTGGGTGTGGTTCACCAAAGTTAGAGTAGTTGGGAAGGCTTGCCAGGATTGTCAGATTGAGTCTCTCCAGATGATAAATTTGTATTAGAAAAGAGAAACTGAGGCTTCATAGTCTCGCAGTGGTCCTTATTGATGGTGTACCAAAGAGGGCGTCTTCACCCTGTGTCCCTGTGTCCCTGTGTCTGTAAATACTCATTGTTGTTTGTCAGTTGAAGTCATCCAGACAAGGTCCTATTTCACTCTTCCGTTCATTAGTTTAACAAATATTTACCAAGTGCCTGAATGTGCCATGCACTGTTCTGGTTCAAAAAGGAAAACAATAACAATAGTCTCTTATGCTTTCGTAGGATTTTTACAGTTTACAAAATTTGTCATTTAATCTTCACAATAGCTTGGAAAGTGGGTTATATCCCTACACTGTATTACAGATAAGGGTGGGATCTCCCAGCATCTAAGAAGTTCTGGTAGTCCTGAACCCGATCTTAAGCCAAGAACTATTTTGATTATAAATGAGATGAATGTGTCATCACTGTGGGCACTTTGGAAATCTCCAGAATTGTAGGTCTGTAGGATTTATACGATCTTTATTTGGGATGTCTGCCCCTGAGGGGCCATGATGCTATTGTGATTCCTCCAAAATAAAGAGATAGCGCTTTTATATTCAAAGGGAAAAAAACGAATGGGTGCTGTTAGTGTCTGTTTTCCCACAGATCTCAACAGAGCCAATATGTGGTTTAGAGCAAAGAATGTAGGGGAAAGGAAGTCATACTTTCTCATGTTACTAACTGAGGTATTTTCCCTGTGCCAAGCTGTGAATAGCGGCAGTCTAGATAAGGAGACCAGAGGGAGGGGGTATAGAGCAGGAAAGGTGCCCTTGTAGAATGTGTAGAGAGCAGATAGGGAGCCAGCCTGTTTGGAAACCGTTAAGTACTGTGTGCAGGACTCGCCCTGCTGCTCTAGGCTAAGAGCAGAAGCCTGTTCTCAGCAAGGCACCTGCGAGTGCTGCTCTGTCAGCCCTGTCTGTGTGATTCTCAGGATTTATTCAGACATGATGGAAGTAGTGTGCTGCAGGTACGTAAGTAACAGATCGTGGACTGAATAGAAGACTCAGAGATAGACCGTAATATTTACAACAGCTTAGGATATTTGTTGGTGTGTGTTTCAAATTAGTGTGATGAGGATGTATTCTTTTTCACTTAAGAATTTTGCATCGGTAGTTCAACTTCATCTCATACTGTTTTAGCAGAAGGGTTGAAAGTAAAAATAGCAGTGACAGTTGGTCCTGTTGGTCTGATGTTTGCCTTGAATAGGCCTGCCCTTCAGTGTGGCACTGTTGGATGCTGTCTTCACAAGTCACTGTTAGCACTGTGCTGAGAGCTAACGGGGCAGAGTCCCTGCCCCAAGACGGGCTCTCCCGACTGGTTTTGCACCCAGCAGGTTTGCGTGTAACAGCTAAGTTAATGTTACAGTGGAATTCTGTTTCAGGGGAATTACTCCATATCGAGTTAGCTTGCTGACAGATGCTGTCACCTTGTCATAGATGGTAAGGGAATCATCGTGCTGAGGATCGTAACACTACCAGCAAAGAGCTTCTTAGCTGCTCACCTCACCTTCAGGCTTCCGCACCTTCAGTCTTTTTTGCCGCATTGCCACCACACTTAGATTTCTAAACCATGAGCTGGACGATGTCGTATCTTGTTCAGAAATCTGTGGTGATTCAGCACTGGTTACAGCAGAAAGTCCAAACTCTGTAGCATGACTTTCATGGTCTTCTGTGTCGAGCGTGGTGCTAGCATTCCCGTCCAGCCTTAGTATCAAGTGGGTTTTGCACTGGCCACCCAGGCAGCTTCTCAAAAGGTGCCAGGTGATTTATATTTCCATACCTTTGTTCATTTCACTTCCTGCCCCAGGAATTCTGTCTTTTTCCTCCCTCCTCAACCTCCCATAGGTTCTGGCAAATTCTGGCTTGTCTTCCGAGGCTCAGCTAGGGTTCCCCTTGCCTGTGAATCCTTGCGATTTCCCTCGCTGGGTGCATCCAGAGCACTGTTGTTTCCCTTCTTAGAGCACCTTATGAAATTCACTTATCCCAGTTTTGCTACGGCCCATTTGGGGGCCAGTTTTTTTCACTTACACAGGAGCTAAACCTGCTCACAGCTTGTCTGGAGACACATGACATCATTATACATACTTTGTTGTAAGCAAGAGGCCAATATGGATTTCTATTTATTAACCTTAGCTTAGGTTTTATTTATTTTTTTGCAAAAACAATTTTTAAATATATTGCAAACATTACTACAAGTTTATATAAACTTTCATAGCCTCCAAATAGCTGGTAAAATGGTGAGCATTGATAGTGGAGCTACTACTAATTTCCTGGTCATCTCAGGAATTTAAAAGAATTGTTTTATGAATCTTAATGCCAAAGTCTCTAGTTATGTAGCATGCATTATTTTCCATGACTAGAAATGCTGTTTTTACATTAATTATCATGGGAATGCATGGCTGCCTGTGAACGTTGGTGAGCACTTTTCTTGGAGCCACTCTCACTTAATTAGCGAGGAGTGAGCATTTGTCAGTTTGGACGTCTCTTAGATCTCTACTGCGCTTTCCAGAGTCAGGGACAGTGTCCTGATCCTCTCTGTATTGCTTTTTATCCTCAGTACCTGATGCAGTTGATAGGTGAATGTCTATTTAGTAATAAAACCTCATACTCCCCCCTCCCCCCTGCACCATTCCTCCCCCACCGCCGTCTCTTTAACTACTACTTCCGTGCTTGTGGAGCCTGTGCAGTTTCAGAAATTCAGGTCGATGAACAATGTCAGATGTGATTACAGTTAGAGTAGATATAGTTTAGAAGGAAGACTGGTTTTCTCACACCACAGTTATTACCCCAGGGTGAAAAAAAAAAAGACAAACTTTTATATTATCCAGAAAAATGTTGTTCATTTGCATTGTTTATGCTTTTTTTTTTCTTTACCCTTTTTGGCCCCTTTAATCTGTAAACAAGGCCCCTTATGCACGCACGTTAGTTCATGTAAAGAAGATTAACCACTGTGCCGCTATAAATAAGAGATGGGCAATAATTATTAACAATTCTGCTTTTATTTCTTGCTGTTCATTTGCTTGTATTTAAATTACTAAGTTTAAATTTCTGTATCTTCTTTTTTCCAGCCATCAAAAATAAGGATTAATTTAGAAGATAATGTTCAATATGTGTCCATGAGAAGTAAGTTGATTTGATTCCTGAATCGGTTTTAGGTTTTGCAGTTTGAACTTCACGTGATTTAAGTGATTTATTTTAAATGTACACGAGTTGATGAGTAACTTAAAATGCGTTATTTGTACACTGAAATGTAAAGCTTGGAATTTCAGCAAAAACTCCTGAGGTTGTGGGCTGTTAATGTGCACAAATGCCAGTTTATTCTCCATTGCTTTGGAAATGTCATTTTTAAAACAGAATGGTCTCTGTCGGGGTATTTTCCCAGAGTTCTGTGAGAGCAGTTGTCACCGCAAGCAGAACTGAAGGCAGTTTGGCAGCAAGCGTGTGGACAGTCTTTGGCCTTCCTGGTTTCCTTTGATTCCCTGTGCCCTTCCCATCTACTTCTGCCGTGGATCAGTGTTCAGAGTCAGTCAGGTAGTTCCCTGTCTTTCTGAAAATTGTTATGACAAATGGCCCCACCCCCGTTTCTTCTTAATTTGGTGCTAATCTCGGTGGGTAGGTGGTGCATAGGTGCCCACGAGGAACCATAACCTCAACCTTCATTTCTCCCCGGCCCTGCCACAGTCCCACCTGCATCTGGCCCCCAGGTTTGGCCAGTTTTACTCTGGAAGCGTTTCCTTCGTCTGCCGCATACCACCAACTTACACTCATGTCTCACATTTATTGAGCTTGTACAGTGCCTGGCCTGTATTAAGCTCTTTGCATGGATTATCACAACAACCTTTCAAAATTCAGGTTTGGATGATTATTCCCATTTGATAGATGAGTAAACTGATGCCCAGAGATTAAGTAACTTGCTCAGTCAGGATTCAACCCCGTGCTCAGACTTGAGCCCACAGTCTTATCCACGGGTCAGGCTGCTGCTTCTCGGGCAGGAAGCAGTGGCCTAGCCATCTAAGTCAGTCACCGGCTCCAGGCTCTTCCACCCCCTCACCTCTTCCGTTCTACTGCCCGTGTGATCTTTCTAATACAGAAATTAGATGATGGTATCACTCAACCTAAACTTCTGCAGTGATGCTCTGTTACATATGGAGAAAACCCTGACTCCTCATTTATTTCTATTAAATTCTATTAAGAAACAAGGCAGAGAACGGACAGACAGATGCACAAGGCCCTTGATGGCCATTTCCCGCTCCACTTTGCAGCCTCATTTCCCAGTACTCTGCACCCTCCCCCCATCGCAAACGCTGTACAGCTGTGGATTCCCTACAAACGCCATGTTCTCACATGGGGCTCTGCTGTTTCCTCTGCCTCACTCACCCTCGTCACCCTCCACCTTCCTGTCCATCTTTCTATGCTCTGTTCCCAGCACACGCCCGTTAGGAGGCCTCCCCTGTTTCCCACTCCAGTTAAGGTTTTATTTCATCTTATGTAACTTTGAATCCCTCTGGCACACTCATCTCAGGGTTTTGGGTAGAGTTCCTGCTAGACTGTGGAACATGGAACGCCTTTGTTTTGGAGACCATTTTAATCATGTTTATATCCCTTCGGCAGCTGTCACGTTATAGGTGTTCAATTAATATCTGTTCTTTATAAAATGACTGGCATGGTAGGAATATACTTATCCTGAACTTATAAGACCATGTCATGTTAGTAATTTAGTATCATTACGGTTGACCCTTGAATGACAGGGTTTGAACTCTGCAGCTTCACTTAGGTGAGGATATTTTTCAGTAGTAAAGACTGCAGTGCTAAATGGTCTGGTTGATTGAATCCGCAGATACGGAGGGCCACGATAAATTATACACAGGTTAACTCCTGCGTTGTTCAAGGGTCAAATGTAAATGTTTTTAAAGTCAGAGTTTCTCATTTGTAATCTTCCAAGATACGTTGTAGAATTGTGACTATCTTCTGCTTCCATTTTTTAAAAAAGTTTAATTCCTCTTTAATCCTGTTTAATCTTAAGTATAGGAGTAGTCTCCACATGGAAGACATTTACGTTATAAAATATGTACTTTTGTTTCTTGCAGTAAAACCACCAGTGGTCTTTAAACTGAATATGACATTGTAGAGGTTCTGGATAAGGGCATTTTTGATTGAAGATAGGATGACTGTTTCTTTTGAAGCATACTGTGGTGTGCCATGAAGTGGAAAAAAGGAGGAATCATATACTCCGCACCAGAAGGACAGCTAAATTATTCATAAAAGTATTTCCTCTGCACACTAAACCATAAGAACTTTTTTTCCTAGTATCAAATTGGGAAAGATGAAAAGAATGATAATATTCAGTTTTCCCCCTTCATTTAGTTATGTTAAGTTAATACAGTGTAGTGAATATTTTAAAAAATAGTTATGTCACTTTTCCTCAAGTTATAATATCACAGTCATCCTAATCAGAAGACTAATTTGAGCTCTTTCTGAACTTCATCAGACAGGGTAACACTATGACGTGTATAGGAACATTTTAAACATTTTTTATTTTAAAGCCAAGTCTCTAACTTTGCTTTATAAAGAATTTCCTAACTTGAAGACCAAATGAGAAATTTAATTTTAGAAATCATTTCTAATCCTATTCCAGATAGTGGTGTGGCTGCAAGTGCAGACTCACCACTTCGTGTCTGATATGGTGCCGTGATGCCTTTTAAATTCACATATTCAGTGGAAACTGGTTGCATATTTCAAATATTCCTTTAAGTCTAAAGCCTTTGTTTACCTGCAATAGGCTAATAAATTTTTATCCAGTTTGAGAAATCGATTTCGTAAAAATTAGCTAAGATTTGGTCAGTGTGTAGAATATCTGTAGGTGTCTGTGCTTACTGATCAAGAATAAATAAATGTTTTTTTTAACGAGTTGAGAAAGAAATGCTGTTTTAAATTTTATGAATTGTGTTTGTTTTGTTTTCCAGAAGCTCTAAAAGTGAAGAGACCTCGTTTTGATGTATCACTGGTTTATTTAACTCGAAAATTTATGGATCTTGTCAGATCTGCTCCTGGGGGTATTCTTGACTTAAACAAGGTTGCAACAAAACTAGGAGTACGAAAACGAAGAGTGTATGACATCACCAATGTTCTGGATGGAATTGATCTGGTTGAAAAAAAGTCTAAGAACCATATTCGATGGATGTGAGTTGTTTTCAAACTTCACTTCTTCTTTTTTTTCCCCCTTCTTATTAAGTGACAACACTGTGCTTAAAACAAACTAGTTACTAGCAATGTTTTTTTCCTACTTGGTACCAATTAAAAGCCATAGACCTAGGATATCATTCCAATATTATGGAAAAGTTAAATGGAGTCATGATTAGTTTTAAGAATTTCACTTTTCAAGATAAGGGGACATCTGATTTGTACAGGAATTTAAAAAAAATATTTCTTCAGTTCTAATTGATGATTGACATCAGGGGGAAATCAGTTAAGGCTGTAAAACAGTGGTTCTTCCACTGTAGTGTAATAAACACTTAGATGCCTCCCTCCCCAGGGGTTGTAATTCATTTCTGGGAGAAGACAGATACCTACCTTAACAACTACCCCCAAGTGATTATGGTGCATATCATACTTCGAAACACGATGCCCTGAATGTAAAAAAAAAAAAAAATCAGGAGACTTAATATCTAAAAGTCAATAGCTAAAGGCTTAACATATGATTAGGAGGGATCTCATGGAAAGAAGACTTTATGGTGTAAATGTAGGTGTGTGTGTGTGTGTGTGTCCACGCATGCACATGTGCAGGGAACGCACACAGGAGGAAGGCTGTTATACTCACAATAGGCAAGTATTTTGGATCAGTAAGAAACAGTTCTAGCATATAAGTACGTAAAGACCTTTCAGGCAAATGAAAAATCTACCAACAAAGATCATTAAATGATTCTAAGTAATTAACTTAGCTATTAGAGGAAAGGGATTCATAAAGGATGTTATTTTTTCAATATTACAGAAATGCAAATTGGATTCTAATTTGAACATGTTTGCTAAATGACATTAACATTTTAGGGATTAATGTCAGATTGTGTTCTGAATCACTAATTAGAATCAGATTTGAGAACTAGCAAGTGAAAGAAAGGTAAAGTGGTAACAGCCTTTTCACTTTTTATTTTCTATAAAAATTGAAGAAAAGAATGAATATTAGTTGTTGCTCAGGTCATGTCATATTGGGGTAAATAGTAATAAAGAAAATGTATCTTTAAAAAATGATCATTATATTCAGATAGAACTGGATAGAATATGCACAGTGGGGGAAAAATAAAGACTAATAGAATTTTAGCAGGGGAACTGTCATTTGGCCAATACATCTTGTTTTTCGTATGTAAGAACTAAAGGATTAAAAGATCATAACTTGTCAAAAGTCATGTGAGAAGTAGAGCTGGGCTGAAACTGGGTGTTACTGACTCAGTTTACTGCTCATTAAACTCCATTAAGCTTTCCCTA